CCTCCTCCTCCTCCCCCTCCTCCCCACCCGTCTTTTTCAAGGGCGCAGGGGGGCGCGCTGTGGATCCGTGCCGTCGCTGGGCCTCTCGAGCTCTCCGGGCGCGGCAGCGGCAGCCTTGAGGGCTGCCCTAGGGACGCCACGCCAGCGGAGGATAAACGAGAGACGGGGGAGGTGGGCGTGGGGTGCGCTCTTCCGCATCTCGCTGTGCGCTGGAGCCTGCTCGGCGAGCTGGCGCCGTCGCGCAGGGTGGGCTGGGCCCCTGGCTCCTGACAGCCTCTTTCTCGGGAGGGATGACGCTCGGCAACGGGAAACCTGTTTTGCCTCTCTGGGCCTCCGAATGACAGTGCAATGGCGACCTCGAGGAGTCCTGGGCCAAATCTGTGCGTTCAGAGCTCCGCAGCAGCAGCCTGAAGAGGGGAGGAGGAGCGGGAGCAGGAGCAGCAGGCGGGGGAAATCTGAGTGAGGGACGAAGACCCCATTTTGAGCCCCCGCCCCTGCCATCCGTGCAACCGCTGGAAGTGCTCAAGCTTCCGTCGGCGTCCTCGCCCTCGTCGTCCTCGCCATCGTCGTCCTCGCCCTCGTCGTCGTCGTCGTCCTCGTCGTCGTCGTCGTCGTCGTCGGCGGCGGCGGCGGCGGCGGCGACGGCGTCGGCGTCGGCGTCGGCGTCGTCGTGGTCCTATAGCCCCGCCCGAGGGGGATCGATCCTCGTCCCGAAGATGGCAAGGCGAAGACCCACCCCGGCCCCCAGTCCAGACCCCATCCCCGAACCCGCGATCCAGGGGGTCGGGACTGGGGGTGGGTTTACGCCTGCAGAGTACTCCTCTCGGGTAGGAGCAAGGAAAGGCGGTACCACCTACACCACCAGGGCGATGAGATGCGGGGAGGCAAAGCATCCCCAGCCTCCAGCTCGGTAAGGCATCGCGGACCTCCTCGCTGGAGGTGGCCCCCCTGATGGTGTTGGTGCTCCTTCTCCTCACTCTGACTCGGGGCCGAGAAGCAGACTCGGCGGCGAGCGAGGGGGGGAAGTGCTGCTTGCTGGCAAAGCGGGTCTTTCATGAATGGGGTCGCGAAAACAAAATGCAAATGGTTCATCCTGCGCCGCATGGCGCGTGGCAGCCACGTGCGGATGCTGCTCGACGTGCGCATCCCGCACGAACGATTGCACGAACTGTTGCGTACATGTTCGGGACCCCCTCTGCAAAGGACCTACTAGCCTTAAGTTGGGCCTGTCCCCTTACAGGCCGAACTTGGACGAAAAGTACCCTAAGAATGCTCAAGAATGCTCAAAAATAGTCCCCTGACTATGGTTTTGAAGGGGCCCTGGGACACACAAATAAATACGCACAAATGAGAAGGTTCCCCATAGTTTCCCATATTTTCTGGGTTTTTGTCTCCCCGCTCAATTCCCACATGTTCCCATATGTTCTTGGGGATCGACGATTAATTGTGTCTGTGATTGTTCCCTCCTGAGTTTTGACTATGTTGGAATATTCCCCCTGTAGAAGGACAGGCCCGACTTAACACTGCAGCCCGAATCCTCAGGAGGGCGGCGGGGCTCCCCGGAGGGCCTCCGGCACCACTCTGCGAGGCGCTGCGCCGTGTCTTCGGGGGCGGCTCTCTCCGAAGACTGCTCCGCAGGCCGGGGGGACGTCCTGGCCTAGCTGCCCGAGCTGCTCCTCCTCCTCCTCCTCCTCCTCCTCCTCCTCCTCCTCCTCCTCCTCCTCCTCCTCTCCTCCTCCCCTCCTCCTCCTCCTCCTCCTTCCTCCTCCTCCTCCTCCTCCCTCCTCCTCCGCCTCCTCCTCCTCCTCCTCCTCCTCCTCCTCCTCCTCCTCCTCCTCCTCCTCCTGTCCTCCTCCCCTCCTCCTCCTCCTCCTCCTCCTCCTCCTCCTCCTCCTCCTCCTCCCTCCTCCTCTCCTCCTCCTCCTCCTGCTCCTCTCTGTCCTCCTCCTCCTCCCTCCCTCCCTCCCTCCGGGGTGCTTCCTACGCAACACGCAGCACGTAGCGTACTGATACGGAGCTCAAAACGTAGACTGAAAACGTAGGTACGACGCGATACGCTCGCCAAAACGTGGGCCGATACGCTGAGCCAGCAAGCAGCGTGTTAACACGGACGTGCTGAGCACGGCACATGTTGCGTTTCGAAGCGGGCGTATCAGGGCAGCTGAGCTTCCGAGCCTTCTGAGAAGGCTTAGGTCGGGCGTGCCCCGCTACAGGCGGATTTTGGAAGAAACACAACCAATAGCCACAACATACTTGAAACAACTATTCAAAAATAATCCCAAAGTCGTCCCCTGACTAGTTCTTGCGATTGAGTCCTCCTCCTGAAGAGGGACACGCCCGACTTCTCGGGAGCGGCCAAGAGGGGGATGTCCAAGAGTGGGGGGGTGCAAAGCATGACCAGCGGCATGTGCGCGGCCCAGCGGGGGGGCCAGGGACGCAATGAAGCAAGAAGAGGCGCCATGAAATCTGGGGAAATATCATGGCCCCCGCCATGATATCCACCCCCCCCCTAGTCATCACCCCCCTCTTTGCCGCCCCCGAACTTCAGAGAGGGCTCGCCCCTTCTCACCTCCCCCCCAGGGCTCGCCGCCGACGGACGGGCGCGGGAGCGCGCCAGGCAAAAGAGAAGCACCAGCACGCGGCGCCGTGCGCGCAGCCGTCTGCCGGCAGACAATATTGGCCGCGGTGGTGCTCGCCGCGACGCGGGGCGGCGGGTGGGGGAGGCAGACGAGGATTAGGTCGGGCATGGCCTCCTACAGAGGGATGTTTGACGAAAAAGGAAAAATTGTCCAACAAAAATGCCCCCCAAATGGTCAAACATTATCAGGGAGAATCGTACCCAGACTAGAGTTGGGCTCTTTTGGGGTCCTTCTCCTGTAGAGGGAGAGGCCCGGCTTAGGACGAGGAGGGATAGGCGGACGGGGGGAGGGAGGCGGAGGATGGTGAGCCGGGAATCTCTGAGAGCCAGCAGCCGGTCTGGACCATGCCTCGGGCTTCGAGGCCGTGCCCGAGCGCTCCGAGAGCGCCCTGGAAAGGCTGGCCCTCGTCAGGGAGCCCACCAAGGACGCATGTGCCCAGCCATGCGCATGCACACGGGGCCCCCTCGAGCCGCGGGGCCGCCCGCGCGATGCGAGCACTCGCGCAGGGCAGACGCTCGAAGCCAGGCGCGGAGTCCTGTGCGGGCACGTCCTCCCTGGGCGCTCCTGCCTCGTCACCGCAGCCCTGCCTGCCCAGAGGGTGCCCGCGGCAGCCCTCTCCCATGGGAGGCCCCCGCGGCCTCCCGAGCGGCCGCTCCCGGGCCCCACGGGGGCCCCATGACGGGGGCGCCGGCCCCCGGCCTGGCGCGGAGAGCCTGCGGGGCACCTCCTGGGCCGGGGGCGCCCGGGGCCCCCGGGGAGGGGCGCAGAGCAGGGGGAGGCCGAGCAGGTCGAGTGTGCCTCGGCTCCCGCTGGACTCAACGCGCTCCAGCTCTGCTGTGCCCCCCAACCGGACGCAGCGAAGGGGCCCAGGGGCACGCAAAGAGGTAGGCACAAGAGACAGGACGCCCCATATGTTCCCAGATCTTCAGGGTGTTCGTCGTCCCCCCCACTTTCATGATTTTAATATGTTGTCCTGGGAGTCGACGATCAATTGTGTCTGCGTGTTTCTTTCCCTCCTGACTCAGCGTCGCACGCATGTAGCGGCCCAGGACACGTGCGCCCGCCGCGCAAGGCGGTGGCATCGGGACCCCCGACGCCCCCCCCCCCCCCCCCCCCCCCGGGGGAAGCCGAAAGGCACCGATACCGCTACTCCCCAGGCCTCTCCTCCTCCTCCTCCTCCTCCTCCTCCTCCTCCTCCTCCTCCTCCTCCTCCTCCTCCTCTTCCGGGGTGCGCTCTGACAAGCATCCCGATGTCGAAGCGGATCCAGCGGTGGCGACGGGGGCCTTCCAAGAGGCCCAAGAGGGCCACCCTTCCCTCCTCTGACCCTACAATCGGCCCCGATTGGTAGGTCGACCCTGCCGAATCAGGGGTACCCCTGTGTCCTGTGTCTCGCGACCCATGCCTCCTAGATTCCAGTGGCAATGGGACCCGCGGAAGGGTCCTGCGTCCTCTCGCGTGCCCCGTCCTATCAAGTCCGACCGTATGGGCACCTTTTCCTCCTCTGCCCACCCACACACAGCGTCGCACGCATGTAGCGGCCCAGGACACGTGCGCCCGCCGCGCAAGGCGGTGGCATCGGGACCCCCGACGCCCCCCCCCCCCCCCCCCCCCGGGGAAGCCGCCTATCAAGTCCGACCGTATGGGCACCTTTTCCTCCTCTGACCACCCACACACACACACACCGTGCACGGCGAGCCGCAGCCCGAGCCAAGGCCACCCGCCTCTCGGGGCCCCGGCAGCGAGCAGCCCGCGGCGCCACCGCAGCGCCGCGGGCGGAGCGCAAAAACCCACAGCGCGGCAAGGGGGGAGACCAAAAGGCACCCGTACCGCTTTAGCGAAGGCCAGTCCACAAGAAACCTCCCACAGGAAACCTCCTCCTCCTCCTCCTGCTCCTCCTCCTCCTCCTCCTACTCTTCCTCCTCTTCCTCCTCCTCCTCCTCCTCCTCCTCCTCCTCCTCCTCCTCCTCGTCCTCATCCCCCGCTTTTCTCGGGGATGGACAGAACCCCCTTTAGTAAAACGTGGTTTCGTGAAAACGACCATGGGCCCCACCCTGGCGGGCGCAAGCCTGGAAAATGACGGCCGCGGCGCCCGCTCGAGGACCGCAAACGGACAATTAACTAATCGACGTGTCAGGGTAGGGGTTCTGCCTACCTCCGAACAACCCTGAGACCCCAGGACGCCAGGACGCCCACTGATTTCTTTGGATGGGAACGTCGCACTGTCCAAAGCAAACCATCGAAACCCAAGATTCTTGGGTTTCGATGTTTTTGCTTTGGACAAGAATCACAGCGCACACTGGAGGCAAGCAGGGCGTTTCTTGGCATGGGCCTCCACTGTACTCCTCAGACCTCTCCTTGAGGTGCGTTCGGACCCGGATTTCGACACGAATCCAGCAGCGGCGGCGAGCGCCTCCCAAGAGGCCGAAGAAGGGGAAACCGGGCGAAGGGCGGCGGTGTCGGTACCTTTTCCTCCCCTGAGGCAGAGGCCATGGGTGGTCAATGGAAGATGGGCCAGACGGTCGCAGCCGAGCGTCACGGCTAGAAACTTTTGGTGTGCCTCCGGGGAGCTCCGCGGATGACGGGGCAGGCCTGGAAGACCTCCGGGCGGGGGGGAGGGCAAACGAGAGCGCGTGCGGTCACCCCCGTCGCCGCCGCCGCTGCTCGCCGATACCACCCGCCGCTGCTGGCATCAACCGAGGGGGAGGATGGAGGAGGCAGAAGGAGAGTGGAGGGAGGAGGAGGAAGAGGAGGAGGAGGAGAATCGAGGAAAGAGGAGGAGGAGAAAGTACAGTAGACACACACACACACACACGGAACAGTCAGCCCGTAGCAGAAGGGTGCGCGGCAAGGATGAAAAGGGTCTGAGAGGGCCGTGCTGACGCTCTTCGAGCGGGGCTGGCCAGCGAAAGGGGTCAAGAATGGGCCGATAGGGGCAAGGATGCACGGGGCAGGTACACTTGGGAAGGCTGCCCATCCTTACAATTCGGGTTGACTGCAGATGCGGCGAATAACGGACGACGACGACGACGACGAAGACTACAGCGGCGGCGACGACGGCGGAAGCGGCGACGACGGCGGCGGCGACGACGACGACGAGGCTGGCGACGACGATAGGCGACAAATAAAATCCATGAACACATGTGCAAAGCTCCGCGCATACCATTCCCCACTGCCGCCGGGCCCCCCCCCCACAAGTGTGATAAACCAAAAACGAGTGATACAAACGAGCGTGATACAGCACAAGTGTGATAAGCAAGTGTGAAAGATTAAACAAAAGCTGCTTCGAACAAGTGTGATACAAGAAACAACTTGCTTTTATGTCGGGCCTGTCCCCCTACAGGGGGGTTTTCGACGAACAACACAAAATACCCCCAAAATAATCAAAAACATAATCCAAACATAGTCTGGGAACTACTTGTTTTTATTATTACTATGCTTTGACCTTTTTGGAGTATTTTTTGGGTATTTCATATTCTTCCCCCAAAATCCCCCTGTAGGGGGACACGCCCGACTTAAAACTTGCCTGGGCTGACGTTCCGCTGTGCGGGCGGACGGCGAGGCATCGGCCCCGGTCGACCCCGGGCGCGCCGCAGGTGTGCGGCAGGGATGCCCAGGCCCGCCAAGGAGGAGGAGGAGGAGCGAGGAGGGAGGAGGAGCGAAGAGGAGGAGGGAGGAGGAAGGAGGGACGAGGAGGGAGAAGGGAGGAGGCAGGAGGGAGGAGGGAGGGAGGAGGAGGAGGAGCGTGAGGGAGGGAGCGAGGAGGAGGAGGAGGAGGAGGAGGAGGAGGAGAGAGGAGGAGGGAAGAGGGAGGAGGAAAAGGTGGTGGAGAAGCGAGGAGCGAGGAGGAGCGAGGATGGAGGAGGGAGGAGAAGAAGGAGGAGGAGGAGGAGGAGGAGGTGGCAGCGGCCGATGGGTCTGCGCAGGATGGGCCCCGAGAGGTGTGTGTGTGTGTGTGTGTGTGTGCGTGTGTGTGTGTGTGTGTGTGTGTGAGTGAGTGAGTGAGTGTGTGTGTGTGTGTGGTGTGTGTGTGTGGTGTGTGTGTGCGTGTGTGTGTGTGTGTGTGTGTTTGCGTGTGTTTGCGTGTGTTTGCGTGTGCGCGCGTGTGCGCGCGTGTGCGCGCGTGTGTGCGCGTGTGTGCGCGTGTGTGCGCGTGTGTGCGCGTGTGTGCGCGTGAGCGTGGATGCCGTGTGTGCGCGTGTGCGCTGTGTGCGCGTCGTGCAGCGTTGTGCGCGTGTGCGCGTGTGTCGCGTGTGTGTGTGGGTGTGTGGGGTGTGTGTGTGGGTGTGTGGGTGGTGTGGTGTGGGGTGGTGTGGTGTGGTGTGGTGTGGTGTGGTGTGGGGTGGGGTGGGGTGGGGGGGGTGGGGTGGGGTGGGGTGGTGGTGTGGTGTGGGTGGTGTGGTGTGGTGTGGGGTGGTGTGGTGTGTTTGTGGTGGTGGTGGGGGTGTGTGCGTGCGTGGCGTGCGTGCGTGCCGTGCGGCGGTGCGGCTGCGTGCGTGCGCGTGCGTGCGTGCGTGCGTGCGCGCGCGCGTGCGTGCGTGCGTGCGTGCGTGCGTGCGTGCGTGCGTGCGTGCGTGCGTGCGTGCGTGTGTGTGTGTGTGTGCGTGCGTGCGTGCGTACTTGCGTACGTGCGTGCCTGTGTGCGTGCGTGCGTGCGTGCGTGCGTGCGTGTGCGCGTGCGTGCGTGCGTGGGTGGGTGTGTGTGTGTGTGTTTCTGTGTCGCCTGTGCTTTTGACAATGGTTTTCAGACCCCACAACGACTCCAACATGGCCCGAAGAGGGTCCCAGGAGGGCCCAGAACGGCCACCGAAGCGCCGAAGACAGCCCCATGAGCCCAAGAGGGCCCGAGGAGGCGACTGTTCTGGCCCCGACGGGGGGACCCTGTTAGGAGCAGCCCCATCTTTGATCGATAGCCTGAAAATGGCTCCAATACGGCCTCCAACGCTGCAAGAAGGCCCTAAGAGAGCCCCAAGAGCGTCCCGGTAGGGCCCACGGGGGCGACTCGGTTTGAGGACGTCCCCGTGTTTCGCTCGCTTGGTATACATTGTTGTTTGGTGGTTTGCGTAGCGTGTTGGTATGCAACTCCTTTCGTCTACCCGCGCACCTGAAATCCATGCGCGAGCGCCTTACAATAAAAAGTCCAGTTGAAAATCGCCAGCCCAAACAACGATTGCAAAGCCACTCGAACAAATGGTTAAGTGAGATACGCGTGCACTCAACGGAGGGAGAGGAGGAGAGGAGGGGACGAGAGAGGGACCAGGACAGGGCGATGGTATTTTCATGGCAGCGTGGCGACGCGCATCTCCACCTGGGCGTGGGCCCTGACGGCCCACGCCCGACGCGAGCGCGTGGGCCCTGACGGCCCGCGCGCTCGCGCTCTGGCACGCCTGCGGCCGCTTGGCCCACGCAGGCGTCTGGGAGCAAAGCGGGGTGGGTGGGCACCCGCGCGTCGGCCAGAGCCGAACGCTACGGACCCAAAATGGCTACCTGAGCCCACACCCCCTCCCACTTAACCTGCAGTCTACAACCAATCAGACTATACAAGTTAAGTGAGATACGCGTGCACTCAACGGAGGGAGAGGAGGAGAGGAGGGGACGAGAGAGGGACCAGGACAGGGCGATGGTATTTTCATGGCAGCGTGGCGACGCGCATCTCCACCTGGGCGTGGGCCCTGACGGCCCACGCCCGACGCGAGCGCGTGGGCCCTGACGGCCCGCGCGCTCGCGCTCTGGCACGCCTGCGGCCGCTTGGCCATGAGAAAAGAGAAAGCGCAGCCGCGCGCGCGGGGACGCCCAGCCCGAAGTGCGAGGGCGGATCCTGGGGCTGCAAGAGCCTCGCGCGCGCGGCCACTTGCCTGCAACCTTGAGGCCTTCCGCGCCCCGCGCACCCAGAGCGCGGGCGCGGCGCGTGCGCGAAGCGCGCAAAAGAACAGAAAAGAGCGGCGCATGATGCGCCGGGCGCAGAGCGCAAGTGTGGCCCCGACCGCACGGCGCGCAGGACGCGCGGCGCGGCCGGGTCCAGGAAGCGCGCGACGTGCGCGCAACGTTCAAACTCCTCAAAAGAAAGAGGATCGCAGGCGCCACCTGCGTACCGTAGGCTAAAAGAAAGAGGATCGCAGGCGCCACCTGCGTACCGTAGGCTGAAAGGATCGCAGGCGCCACCTGCGCACGGTAGGCTGAGAGGAAAGCCGGCTCACTCACGGGCTTGTCCCGAGTAGCGGTCCGCCTCACTGGGCCGCCGTCTTCAGCCCGCAGCCCGCGATGCCGCGGGCGCTGGCGTCGGGATATGGGGTGCTCCACGCCTAGATGGATGGCGTGTTCCCCTGGCGATCGCGGCTCTCGTCGCCGCTGCGGTCTCCGCCGCGCTCACTGCGGTCCCGGGGGCTGCCGCCATCGCCGCCCCTCGACGCGCGACCGCCCGCGCTGGGCCTGTCACGCTCACTCCGGCCGCGGCTGCCCTGGTCGCCCTTGGAGTGGCCGCCCTTGCCGCTCTTGTCGCCCTTGCCGCCGCTCTTGGTGCCCTTGGCGGCCTTGCCGGAGTGCTTGCCCTTGACCTTGCCGCCCTTGCCGCCCTTGTCGCCCGCGCCCTTGCCACGCCAGGCTGGGATCCCACCCCCGCCCGCGGCAGCCTCCGCGGCGGCAGCACGCCGCCGCTTTTTCTCCTGCTCGTACCAGCCGCCGCGAGGAGCGCGAAGCTGCCCAGCGTGCTTCCCGGTCTTACGCCGCGTGCGGCCGGGAGGGGTGTCGCCGCGCCGCGCCCACGCTGGGTCCCGCGCCAGACTGCGGCTGGGCGACCTCTCGCGCTTGGGCCGGTTGCGGCTGGGCGACCTCTCACGCTTGGGCCAGCTGAGGTCGCCTGGCGGGCGGTCCCCCTCAGCCCCCGCACCCGTGGCACCCGTGCTGGGGCGCTCTCCGTGGCCGGCACTGGGGCCCGGCGCCTCCCGCACGGTGTGGCCGCTCTGCCGGGCCTTCTCCACCACCGTCTTGGGTTTGCCGAAGGCGACGCGGCAAGCCTCGCAGTAGCTCACGTCGCACCCCTTACAGTGCCACCGCAGGGCTCCGCTGTTAGCTCCGCCCGCGGGGCACATCTCGCAACCCCAACCGTCTCCCGGGTCAAAGGAGCTCCAGCGCATCTTGAGAGCGCACGTCGGGCAGGCAGGCGGCTGGATGGTCGGGCCATCCTCCCCGTCGCTGCCTGGGTTAGGGCCGCGAGGTCGGCTCGCCCACTCCGTGACCACTGTGCACGGGTCCGTCTTGTAGAACCGATAGTTCGACCTCATGCACTCCCGCGCGCGCTTTGCATCAGCGCGGCGCTGGAACTCCACCAGCACGCACGGCTCCCGCTTGTGGCGGTGGTCGTACAGGAAGGCGATGCGTTTGACGACCCCAAAGGGCACGACCACCTGCCTGACCACCTCGGCATCGACGTGGTGCGGTACCCGCTCGATGCGGATGATGGACTCGCCCTCGTCGTGCTGGTCACTAGGCTGCTGCTGGGCGCCCTGGCGCTGCTCCTCCTTGCGCCTACGGCGGCTCCTCGAGCGCGGCTGGCGCTGGGGCGGACCGTCCCCCGCGCCTGGCGCCGCCGTCTCCTCCACCTC